AAATGTAAATTGCTAGGGACCTGTCCTAGGTCCAGCTACATTTATGTTGTATGGTCAAGTGACAGTGAACTGGGGGTTGTTCATGCTTGTATCTGCGATTACCGGTGTCATGAGTTGGTGTTGTGCAGCTGAAGGCCTACCTTACACGTTTACGCATGTACTCAGTTAAGTAGAGATGCCTGTAAGGACCTTGGACCGCCTTTGCTATTGTATTGAATGTTATTATGCTATTTATACATTTTGTTATTTAAAGGCAGCTATGGCCATCAAACTCCAATTTTTTTTTCCTCTGTTGGTTACTTAGGTATTGAGGAGTGGTGGAGTGATGGTCAGGCAGTATTGGAGTCAAATTATCTTTAATACTCTACTACCCCCCCCACTCTTTGTTTCCCTCTTCTTCCCCTTATCTCTCCTTCCCCCTTTTTATCGTATCCACTCTTTTCTTTTCCGCTCCAGCTCATGCCCTTAGATCTTTTTCCTACATGTTATTTGGTGGGTGATGGCCATCTACAGTGTAATATGTATGTTTCTTCCGATCTGTCTCAGGATGACCGTTTAACTCTGTATGATCTTTAGCATTGGAATCTCATGTGTCTTGTATATCTACCGACTGCCATAAGCTTACTCGTTCTTATGTACCTTGATTTGTTATACTTTTTGTACGATTTCAAAAAACGCAAGTGTTAAAAAAAAAAAAAAAAAAAGTAGTCATAATTTTTTTTGTTTCTCATTGAAAATGAAGGAAATGTTTAACCCTAAATGCTTTGCTTACACTTGTCATCTGCAATTTCAAACTACAGTACAGTAGTGTCTAGTAGTTTTGAGGGCAGGGCAGTTGTCTCAATGCCTGTCTTTCTTTTCTTGAGGATACATCTGCTTGTCCATGACAAGCCTTAAAAATGCAATTTTTAAAAATATAGCGGCACCTGAAATCACTGTAACAATCGATTACTGCCCAGACAAAATCATGAAGAATGAAAGACGTCAGCTTTCTCACGTTCCCAAAATCTTTTCAAAACCAGAAAACACTACATTTTTACTGTCAGTTCTTGATGCAGATATACTGCTTAATGTTACTACTAACTGAATGCAAATTTGCAGACTAGGAGTGGTGAAGTCAATGCTATCATTAGGCACAAGACAGCTGATTTAGGACAAATAACATTTTTAAGTATGACACATATTTGTTAATAGAAAATATCTCTGTTAGATAAAAAAAAAAGAAGCTGGAATATTTTTGCAAATTTTACTTTGACCAAATTATTAATGATTAGTTACATTAAGCTGTTAATTTATAAAAGTTTTCATGCAGGATTCACACAACTTTCACCCCTGATTCACATATTTTAGCTTTTTTTGCTATGCACCCCCTATGTATGCTCATCTTGTATATTTCATAGCCTTGTTGAAAAATTATCTGGCACTGTTGGTTGTGTTCATTGCAAACAAATATGTATGCTTTTAAAAGAGCTATTTATGGTACCATTGTTTAAAATATTGTAATATTTTCCCTATCATTGATCACTTAAAAGACCAAATATTTTACAATTGACATTGCTCCAGTAGTTAACGCTGCAATTACTCTGTAAGATAGGTGAAGCTTTTAAGCCAAATTTATAGTGGTTTTGTATATATTAGCATTCTTTTTTTAGCATTTTTATTATTAGGAAAAAGGGTTTTTATTTTCAAGTAAATAGGAAAAATTAGGTAATAAAATTATACAATCTTCTAACTAGGCAGCAGATGTAGGTCTAATTTCCTTTTCAGCTATTTCAGCTTTGCTGAACTGGAATAAGTAATCAACATTGTGACTCATCCTTTATCAGACACTCGGGCAATTCAATAAATCCCTTTTTCTGGTGCTATGGCCCTTTAAGATGGCCTGAATTTAAAAATCCTTGCTGTAACTTTATCAACACAATTGGCAGATTCAGGTAGTTCTTAATAGCACCACTTTTACTAAGTGACACTGTAAATGCACCAAAGTAAAAAATAATTTCCTCCAGTTTGTAGATACGTTGGTGTACAAAGACAGGTAAATAGCCTGTCTCTGTGCGCAGTGTAGCAGAGCAGAATATTTGCAGTCGCTACCCTCTCCCTGTCTCTAGTTGTTAAGGACATTGTTGGCTCCACAGCCAACAGTTTCCTAGAAACCAGTGATGCTACAGTGGGCAGAACCTGATGGAGAGACTAGGATATTAATTCCCAATCAGGTCTGCTCTCTCCTTGTGAATGACAGCAAGCAGTGGGCAGATTCTATTGCAGTAGAATCTGCCTGCCAGTAGATTTCTACTAGAATAAAATAAGGTGCAGCACTAAGTAATCTGTTATATATCAAAATGTCCTAATATAAACATATAAAATCACCATAAGCAATAAAATATGTGACAAAGTGCAAATAGAGGTGTCACTAAATAGTGACTAGTAATGTGAATGAGTGCAGCACACTAAAAAGTCCCCAGTATAGGTGCACATAAGGTCCCAAATGATCTTCCAAATCCAGTGGCTAGATCCGTGGATAAAGTGATAAATGTGTGAAGATTGCGCACTCACCAGATGCGCAATCTTAATGCGCATATAATTGGTAACCACAGGACATCAAGGATCCTAATAGGTCTGGTCAGATCTGGTCAGATATCCCCTCACTGTTAGGAAATGCTGCCACACATAGGAAGGTTGCTCTGCAGATGTAAATGGCTCCCAAAGGAGCTCAAAAAACCCCCTATGACTACGTGCAATCGCACAAAACGCGTCAGGGAGAGGCTACAGCGGTGTGACGTCACGCCGACCGGTGCCACGAGGGCCCTGGCAGCCATCTTGCTTATCTACATGGGTCAGTACTTCTTTTGTTTTTACTGTTTTGCCTTGGAATAAACATTCCTTATCCTAAGGATACTACACTATTTGGCCTCCTCTGTTTTTTGAGCTCCTTTGGGAGCCATTTACATCTGCAGAGCAACCTTCCTATGTGTGGCAGCATTTCCTAACAGTGAGGGGATCACCTTATCCACGGATCTAGCCACTGGATTTGGAAGATCATTTGGGACCTTATGTGCACCTATACTGTGGACTTTTTAGTGTGCTACACTCATTCACATTAATAGTCACTATTTAGTGACACCTCTATTTGCACTTTGTCACATATTTTATTGCTTATGGTGATTTTATATGTTTATATTAGGACATTTTGATATATAACGGATTACTTAGCGCTGCACCTTATTTTATTCTACTATTTTGAAGGTTTTATATGGCGCCTTGCAGTGCATAGCTGCTGATTTTATCCCTTAGCGCTCACTTATCTTGCTATTTTAGTAGAATTCTACTATCTGCTCAATTAATCACAAGAGGAGCTGACCTGATGAGGAACTAGTGTCTACGAATTCACATCAGGCTCTTCCCACCCAGATACAAAATTCCCCATCAATGCACGTTGTGACTGCTGTAGCAGCAAGAGGAGGGCAGAGTGTCCATATGGGCACTCCAGTCTCAGTGCGCCTCTACAGTCAGTGGGTTCCCCAGGATTCATGTTCCTGTTGCATGAATGAATGGGCTGCTCTAAGCATGACACACAAAAGAACGCACACACCGTCATACATGCACCTAAAGATACAGTCCATTTTCATAAATATTTACACCAGCTTGATTGTATTTTTATTGTCTCTGTAACAGGTACTAATTCAAACAAATGTAAAGGAAAACTCTAAAAAAAAAATTGGGTCAAGCTGCAACTGTCAATGATTGTCTCAATCTAAAGCATTCTATTCGTACAACTCTGCCAGCCAGAACAACACTGGGGGTGTTCAGTACATTCCCAGCAATAGTTCACCCGGGTGGGCCCCTCACCAGAGAGCCAGAAAGAGTGTAAAACTGTCCACAGAAATTATATAGCAGTTGGATGTGCAGGTAGAAAGCAAACACCAAAGCTTCTCTCTTACCAAGGATGGTTCAGTAAGCATGCCCTCTCAGATCGGTGTCAGGACATCCAATATGGGTGTGAATTTCATCAGTGTTCCACCCATTAGTAAAGGAAGAATAAAGATGACAGCCCCAAATCTTGTGCCTTCAAGAACAAGACAGTAATGACAGCTCTTTTAAAGGAAGTGTAGGAATCCACTGCACTTTGTCTGCAGCTGCCCGTAGCTTCTTGAGTGCATTGCTGAATCTTCGTGAATCTTCGTGACAAACAGAGTATCTCTGTCCTGTTACTATCTTGCATGCACAGTGCCAGATAACTAGGACTGTGTTCCAGACTGGTTGGGTAATGGATGGAGGGTCTCTTCATCACCACAAATCTTGTCTTCAGGTCAAAGACAGACATTGCATCATCCTTGGAAGCCCATGCAATGGGACTCTCAACATTCATCTGGAGGTATCTCTATAAATAATTATATATACACCCAAGTATTTGTGCACTATACCACCAGGACTCCTATTGAGCCCTTTACTGATAATATCTGTTTGTACATTGAATGTATGTACCAGGGGCGGACTGACAACTCATGGGACCCCTGGGCAATAGGGTATCATGGGGCCCCTGTGTCCTCACCCATACTCAAACCACACCCAAAAAAAGCCTATGAAAGGTACCAGGGGCATCTCATGGGGCCCCCTACTGACCCCGGGCCCTCGGGCAGTGCCTGAGTTCCCAAATGGTCAGTCCGCCCCTGGTATGTACTGTTATTAATCTCTTCCTATATAAAGCTTGTATTATTTCTGTATTGGTGTGCATCAATAGTATATGCTTATGGTTAATGTTATATGCTGGTTGCTTCCAAATACTTTGATTAGATTACTGGTTAATTTCCCATAGAGGGAATCCCCTCTGTTCACTGAGGCCCTGTCTTGGGTGGAGGCACTGCCTACTTTTTTATTAAACCCATTCTTCCACTTAGCCCTGGTTCACACTGGTGCAACTTGTCATGCAATTTGACAGTTTCAAATCACATGACAATCGCACCCTATTGTTGGCAATGGAGCCATTCAAATTGGTGTGACTCTGATTTGGAAAAAAAAAGTTCCTGCACTGTTTTTTGTGATTTCAGGTGCAACTTGCATAGACATCTGTGCATGAAGTCGTACAAATGTCAGGCACAGGGATGGACAAACCATTTGGAAACTCGGGCACTGCCTGAGGGCCCGGGGTCAGTAGGGGGCCCCATGAGATGCCCCTGGTACCTTTTTCATAGGCTTTTTTGAGTTTGGGCAAGGACACAGGGGCCCCATAATCCCCTATTGCCCGGAGGTCCCATGAGTTGTCAGTCCGCCCCTGGTCAGACAAGTCACACTTGAAATTGCACTGACATGCAGCTTTAAAATCATGCGACTTCAAGAGAAGTTGCATGATTTCAAAGTTGAATTCAGTGTGAACCAGAATTTAGTGAAGGTTCTGGTTCTCTTATTTACCTACAGGTTTAACACACTATCCTGTTTGAGGTGAGCCATTTCTCACTCCCCCCAAAAAAAGGGCTACAAAAGCATATTATCGATTTCACCAGTGGTTCTGTAAAAATAAAATATACGCTGTTAGGACAACAAAAATGACTGTTAAAAAACCTTATGTTACAAACAGATTCTTCATAATCACTGCATTGCCTAAATGTAAATAGCAATGGCAAATACTCTGACCTAACATGAAAGAGCTTTATAGCTGTACATCCACTTCAGGATCACAGACGTGAAATGTCAGTTATGGAAGTCTTTTCTGTGATCGCAGCCTGCTGCAGAGGTTTCCTACAACCGTGAGATACACCATGCTAAGTTGCTGGATGAAAGCTTATCTGTCACATGTAAGGCAATGTCAAAGTATTCTAATGCAGGGTGAGGAAATACAGAAAACACTTTATACATTAATGGTGCTATAATAAGGTGATCAGCATTGGAAAATAAATATTCACATTTTAAATACATACTGTACATAGGAGCTGTTTAACTTATATCTGTAATTTACTTAGTCCTTCCAAACAGCAAAGCAATGTCAGTGACCGGACTTTTCTCTACTGCAGTTAAAGTGATACTAAAGGTACCCGAGCAGGCTCGCTCTTGAGCCGCTGTTCTGTCATCCATTCATACACGGAACTCGGGCCCACCCCTGTGATTGACAGTAGTAGGAGCCAATGGCTACTGCTGCTGTCTCACCCAATGCGGAGGGAGAGACCTGGAAGAACTAAGGTTCTTGTGCACATCGCTGGATCGAGATCGGGCTCAGGTAAATTTTAGGGGAGCTGAGGGGAGCAGCTGAACACAGAATTCATGAAGGTAAAAAAAACGTAAACCTTTAGAACTACTTTAAGCAATGTAGGCTGGTCACTTCCCTGCCTCCCGCCTAGCAATGGACAAAGGAGCTGCAAACTGCAAAAAGATATCCTCTTCTCTTTGTATTGTGGGAAATCCCTGCTGTCCCTCTGCTTTCCTATTAAAAACTGACCACACTAGGCAGGCGGGCACAGCGTGGTCAGTTCACTAGCTGTGCTGTAATTCAATGTGTTCTTCTCCAGTGATCAGACTGGTGTTGACACACCCCTGCACAGCTATTCACTGGGAAGACCAATGTACTGCTGTTTCTCCACCCTCATCCTTCCCTTAACCTTTCTTTCATTTCTATTTTAAAACAGTATAAAACTCAAAAGCAAACATTTATATAAACATTTTTTGGCTTTCTTACTTCTATTTTCATCTGGTGATTCAGCCAGCAACTTTACTGTTTTTCACAGCACAAACTCTCCAGCAGAATGTATCAGCTTACATTGAGGAGACAAACCATTTACCACTGGCAGGGGTGATTAAAATGATCAGCTTTTATTTATTCATGTAAAACCTTTATCCCAAAAGAGAAAAATGGTTTCTGTAACCAATTATAAAGTGTTAGATGGAGTTTGCTTTTAATTTGTATTCAAATTTGCTAATATAATTAACACTTACACCCCCCCCCCCCCAAACTGACAATGCTGCTGTCTGCTGTGTCCTGTGCTCATTCCTCCAGAGTGGTGTCTCACTAATACAGGAACTGTGTTACTGACTAGATCACCAGGTGAAAACAGACGCGAAAAAAAAACAGGCAAAGAAAATTGATGCAGCCAGCAGATCTAATGATTGGTAAGCTGCAATATAATACATTTTTGGTTTGGGGTTTAGTATCGCTTTAAACTGTATGGGTTGCTTTACAAGGTTTACATGTATTTTAATTAGGTTGCTGACCAAATTAGTGGAAATGCATTTTCAGATTAGAAAATTTCTGCATGCCCAAGTATTGTTTTGTATGTAATGGATGCATTTGGTCTGCAAATGGACTCATTTGACAGCACATTTATGGACTGCATTATACCAATGTGCTTTTTTTATGTGTGTCAAAAAGCATAATGTACCCAAAATCCCAGAAGAAAACAATGTAGCAGATATGCTTTATTCAGATGATGATATCTCGGTCTAAGTGCTTGGATCTTTTTCTTGTGTTCTAACAACAAAAACAGCAGAAATAACACACTGCTTGGTCTTAGTGTTTTTTATCTGAATTTAGCATCATCTTGTTATGTATAAAAGTAGAAACCTGCATTCACATTTAGCATTTCATATGCGATTTTGCATGCATTCACGATGCGATAAATGTGAATGCAGGCTAAAAAATGTATGTGCCCCCCCAGCTATGTCTGCCCTACTGATAGGAGTATTGTCAGTAGAGATTGGAATGGACAGAGAAGGGGGTCACTTGGACACCATTGGCCAGCTTAACCACTTCAAGTCCGGAGACACTTTCACCCCTTTCTGTCCAGGCCAATTTTCAGTTGGCAGAGCTATCACACTTTGAATGACAATTGCGCGGTCATGCAACACTGTACCCATATGATTTTTTTAGCATTTTTTTGAAACAGCTAAAACTTTATTTTGGTGGTATTTATTCACCACTGAGATTTTTTATTTTTTTTTTTGCTATATAAATGAAAAAGTCCAACAATTTTGGAAAAAAAAAAGTGTTTTTCTTATAAAATTTTGCAAATAAATAATCTTTCTTCCGAAATCTTGGTCAAAATGTATTCATCTATCTTTTTAGTAAAAAAAAAAAAATAACCCAAATTAGTTTATAACCAAAAATTAAACATTTTCTAATTTTATTTTTTTATAATTATTATTATTATTTTTTTTTTTAACATACTGCCACCCTAGCAGTACAATGTCACCATAGTGGCACTGCACTACTTGTGGGGGGGTGATGAAGATTTTTTTTTTTTTACACTGGTTGCTTTTACACCCATAAAGGCTGTAAAAGCAATCATTTCTCCTTCTCTCTGGCTGCATTCTTGCAGCCATTGAGAAATACTGTGTGAACTGTGATTGGTCACAGCTTGTCACATGGTACAAGGCTGTTGTGAATAGCCTTGTACCATGTGACCTCTGTGATCATTCACAAGATTCACTAGTAGTAAAGCAATGATGTCAGAAGTGACATCGTGCTTACTACTATTCATGTGATCACTGATTGACCAATCAGTGGTCACATGATCGGGACCTCATACAGAGGGGAGTGCACACAGGCAGAGAGCAGGGAGGACGTTTATAAAACTGGCCACGCACTCCTGCACTGCTCCCGTCTGGACGTTTATATACATGAGCTGAACGGAAGTGGTTAAAGTGGAACTTCAGTTGTTTTTTTTTTTTTAGTCAGCAGCTACAAATACTGTTAAAAATAAGGTACTCACCAGTCTCTTTAGACCAGCGCTGTCTTCCTGCAGCCTGTTCTTCTTACCCTGCACCCTACTCCTGGGCACTGCCTTGCATTGGGATGCCAGCTGTGTCCTCCTGAAAAACTCCAGCTGGCACCCCACTGCGCATGCGCAAGCTCGTGCACTGCGAAAAGTCCTGCAGCCCCCTGAGACATGTGATGTGTCCTATGATGCTGGGTGAGGGAAGGGATGGGTAAGGATTGCAGCAAGGGTACTGATAAAATTGTCACTAACCTCACCCCCCCCCAAAAAAAACCTTTAACTCTGGCTGGAGGAGGGAGCAAACCAGTGGTACATCACTGTTTGAATGAACTTTCACTTTAAATGCAAACAGATATAAGTAAAACTAAGAATCCCAGTTTGAAAGCAGACATATCACTAGGCAAGGTTGAATGGCAGCATTCAGAGGGTTAATTCTTAATAAAATTCTAAAATGAATGTCTAGCAGTGGTGAGGAATGTTTTGTCTCCATGATACAAATATTTAAGGCGGAGATGTGAAGAAACTATTCACTGACACATGCTAAATGTAGAAATGTGTTAAATGTTATCTGCACCTGGAATATGCACACAAGAACTGGTCATAACTAAAAACTTTTATCTTTTTGTTGGCAAGGTCAAAAAATCCCTTTGAACGATATACTTACTAAACAAATGTTTTTAGAAACCATTTATTTAATTTAATAGACAAAACAATGCACATTCCATAGGATGTGCATACCATTACATTTTGAGAATCTAGCAAAATATTTTATCATTTCTATTGGAATGAATTATATTGTAGTATATAAGTATTTACCTTCTCAAACCTTTTTACATTTGCTAAAGCTATGGCAGCAGGTAGGAAATATATGGACACATTTTTCATTTTAAACACATCAGAAAAAACAATACAAACAATAGTTATATTAGAATATAAGTTTACTTGAAAAATTCTTTCATGTTTTGATTACTGCCTGCCTGCTGGCTATCTTTTTTCCACAACCTTCTGGATTCCCACCATTGTTCTGCAGTTTCTTCTCTTCTTGTTACTTACAATTTCTAAGAAATACATACCTTGCTATCTATAATTCTATACTGACTCCACCTCCAACCTCCTGAAACTCCTCCTCTTAGCACCTCTGTAGTCGAGAATGCAGGTATAGTGAAATATGGGACCCAGCAGTGCCTGCTCATAGGACATAATGGTTATGTGTCACAGAATTCAAGGAAGCACATGTGTAGGAATCTTCACAAAGTAAGTTTACAAATGTCAAGATTTTTTCAGATTAATATGAATAGGCTAGAAATAATTGAAATACAACTGCACCGCAACCATGTGTATTGCACACAGTTGCGAGGAGGCCTG